ACAGAATCTGAAACAGGCTCCAGGTTCTGAGCTAGCTGTCAGCACAGAGCCCGACGTGGGGCTCGAACCACAGACCGTGAGATCATGACCTGAGCCGAAGTCGGACTTTTAACCAACTGAGCCACCCAGGCGCCCCTTGATGTATGTGTTTTAATGCTTGTTTCATTTTGTATTGTTTTATTACTTTTTTCGTTTTAATTAAGGTATAGTTGACAAACAGTATTATATTACTTTCAGGTATGCAATAGAGTAACTCAACATTTAGGTACATTACAAAGTGCTCCTCATAGTAAGTGTGGTCACCATCTGTCACCTCTTTCACATCTGACACATGTCACTATAGTATTATTGACTATAGTCCCTATGCCATACAAGCGCTTGATTTTTACTTCTCACTATGCTCCACGGTCTAAATAGACTATACCTTGCTTTTCTCCTGTTGATGGACATTTATGTTGTTTTCAATTTTATTTTCTCTTGTCATTCTAAATGGTTCTCCAACAAACATTCTGGTACAACTTCTCACACGCGTGTGCCAAGTGTAACTGTCAGGTGTGGCGAGTGGACTGTCAGGAATCCACACCAGGCCATGACTTGAGCACAAAAACTAAGAGTAAACATTTAGAAAACTCTGTGGCACTTTGATGTTGCTGTGACATCACATTTTTGAAAAGGTCAACCCATGAGAGATAGAGATTGGTAGTTTTACAAACTGGTCCTTTACCACACATAGTTCGAAAAGCACAGCTCTAGGGAATGAACTAGGACAGAAATTGCCAGGTCGTCAGATGCTCAAGTATCTCCCACCTTGCAGATACCATCACACTGCTCTCCATGGGAACTGCACCAATATCTATGCTCAACTGCAACATTTGAGAATCTCTGTTGCTCCAGAATCTCTCTGTTTGAGACTCCACCTCCACTCTTGGAGATGTCAAATGTTTAAACTGGGGATTTGACCTTTCTATTGCATTCTTACTGGCACTTTTCAAACTTCCACCGAAGGGCGGAAGCCCGGGTACCCACCTTTCCATATTGAGCTGACACCAGAGCTACTTTTCCCGATGGTGCTGATCAGGTAGTCTAAAGCTGTCTCCTTGGCTTTGAGGTGGAGGAGCAGGCTGGCCTCCACGAAGTGCCTTGTGACATCCAGATGATTGGAACCTACTAAAGGAGTCATCGAAGCAACTCAGTTTCCTCCCAGCACAGGGCTAATGCTTCCAGGAAAGGGTCTCTGTAAGTGGCCCAGGAAATAAGGGTAGAGGGAAGATCTACTCCTAGGGTAAGCAAGGATGAGGGTCTTTTAATGGAAGGGTCTCCTTAATGGAAGGGTTTCAATCTCCCAAGACCTGTCAGGTGGCATTTTGCTCTCTATTCCCCTTACCCTTCTCTCTTCCTTCCCACAGGCCAGGGTTCTGGTGCCTTTAGTATTTAAAATAACATTTAGAAGGTCCTAGAAGCATCTAGAAGGCTCAATTACTGATATGGCTCTCTCTTCCTTCCTTGATCTTAGGGTTACACCCTTACCATGGATGGTCTTGCTAAACACCATCAGCCCTCTCAATTCACCCCTTTTTCCTTGGTACGGCCTCTCTCTACCTCTGGTTCATTTCCATAAAATCCACCCTGCAGTGCCTCTGGCCTCACACTGTTCTCCGCAGCCTACTTTCCAGTCTGAGCTCCATAACACTGGGGGAAGGGGAGGAAAAAGTGGAGAAGAGATTGGGGTGAGAGGGTGACTGTTGAGGGGAGGTATGGGACACGGTTCAATCCCTATAGTAGACCCATGGCCGCCACCTATCCCCAGTTTACCCTTATAAATCTGGCTGTGGTGGCTGTGGTGGCCACACACACATCAGTCTGGGCAGATCCTTCCTGGCTCAGATAAAATGGAGAAGAATCCAGCGAGCCAGGCTTACCAGACGCAGACTCCATCATGGCCTTCATCTTCAGGGTGAGCAGCTCTGTGAGCAGGTGGATGGACCGCCGCTGGAACTTGTGCAGAGCTTCCCGGCCATGGGTGGGAGAGCGGGTTAACCTGGCAGGCCCAGTGGGTGCGGGCAGCAACGGTGGTGGTAGTACCAGTGGTGGCGCCTTCTTCTGGACAGGGGCCTGCGTGTAGGTTGGTTCCATAAGCACCACGGGTGGGGGTCCAAAGCTGATCTCCAGGCCCAGGATGTCGGACGCAGTAGGCACCATGGGGTCGGCAGTAAGTTCTTCCCAAGTGAACTCAAAGATGTTCCTAACGCCCTTGGGTACAGAAATGCCTGAGTTCCGGCAAAGGATGAGCAGTTTGGAGATGCGGGCCAGCAGCCTGGGGGCCGAGGCCGTGTATTGCTGGTACAATTCTCTGTTGCTCTTGATGCCATTCATGTTGCTAGAGTACGCATACTGCTAGGTAACACTGTCCATCTTAGACAAGATGGACCTTCAGCTGTAAAAAGTCAGGGCCCCTGAGAGGTGACTGAGGGTGAAAAGTTCTTACCTAAGGTGAAGCCTTGGAGACAAACAGAATGGAAGTGCTGAAATGGTCTTTATGGGTCATTGAGTGGGTCCTATCCAGGGAGGATAAGGAAATAACTGGTCCCTCCTCACACAGTAGGGCAAAGGGATGCCCCTCTTCCCTTCCCTTCCCTCCCCTCCCCTTCCCTTCCCTTCCTTCCCAAGAGAGCAACACATAAACCCACAATGGGTGAGTCGCTTTGGGAAGGGCCTTGGGGATGACCAGATTCCAGAAACGGTTCCAGGGACAGTCAGACAAACCAAGTACATCGTGGGAGGGACCCGGAGGGGCTGGAGGAGTGGAAAGGATGGGGAAGGGAGAAAGGTTCTACTGTACCTTTTATAGTTAGAGGCCTGAGAGTGGAAGATCTGCTTGCAATCTATAAATAAAAACCTGCAAAAACAAACAAAAAGAGGTTTCATTGGCTCTCTGGAGGAAGTGATGCGGAAGTTCCCGGTGGCAAGGCAAGGGTGGGCATGCAATTATTCAACACACACATCCAAGGGCAGACAGCAAATACATTTTCTCAATTCAATAACTAATATTGGCCACATTTCATCAAATCAAGGTTTGATGTCATTGACTGTAAGATGCACCATCTTACAAGAAAGAAAAAAAATCAATGTAAGATGCCACTAACTATAAGACATATCAAAATTTAAGAGATGATAAAATGAGGGAAATCCCTATCTTAAAATCAATGAACTATGATAAATATTTTCCCACTTTAATAGAACTTCTTGAGGGCTCTGCCTCCTCATCAAGTAGACAAGTGTAGGGTAGCAGATGTGAACACCATTGGGTGCTATGGTGGTTCTTATCCTTACTTCTAAATTGTGTTTTATTCTTATTTTCTCAATGTATGTCAAAAATAGACCCCTGGTTGGGGTGCCTGGCTGGCTCAGTCAGAAGAACACATGACGCTTGATCTTGGGGTCTTGAGTTCAAGCCCATTGGGTATAGAGATTACTAAATAAATTAACTTAAAAAAATAGAACAATGACTGCAGAGAAGGAGTGTGAAGAACAATTTGATAAACACAAAAATGGCTGGGAAAGTCCACAACTAGACTTCAAGGGTTTTGTAATCAGATCTGAAGGTTTCATTTCTCTAATCAAAAGGAACCCCTCAAGAACATTCTTCAGTAATATATCAGTCTAAAATACACTGACAAAAATGTAACGTCACTTCTTAATCTTGCACTACACAAAAATGATGATTATTTCTTTTTAATTCCGGAGGAGCTTTGTGAGAATACGAGTCTCTGCCAGAGATGCTCAAGAATCCAGAACGTGTCAGAAAAGCTGACCTATGGGAAGCTTAGAGCAGACGGGGGCAGGGTCCTCCCCCACCACCTTTGCAGCATTTCTATGCCATATGGACCAGCTGCCCCTGCAGTCTGACTTCAGGGACCCCCAACTTCTGCTGATCCTGCTTATTATCACAGCCTCCCAACCATCACCTCTACCTTCCATCCTGATGACCACTCCCCAAGAGGTCTGTGCTGCTCTCCTCCTGCCAGACAGTCCTCATTCTTTCATTTTTCAAACCATGCCCTCTGGAGTCACCCCAAAGCGGGTGCACAGCCAGCGTTTACCAGAGCAGGCTCAGGGCCACGATCTGGTGCGACCGCCCTGGGGTGAGATTACTCACTCTCCCATTTCACTGATGAGGAGTCAGAGGCCTAGAGAGACAGAGCTCCCGATCAGGCAGGAATTGCCTATGTGCCAACCCTAGGCCTTCGAGCTGCCTCTGCCCATCTATCAGCAACAAAACCCCTGAGAAACAAGGGCTCCATAGAGCTAAGCCTTCCGACACCCTGGTTTACAGAGAAGTGGCTTCCTAGGTCTATTTGCTGACCTCCCAGCATCTCTGTTCCTCAGCTTTGGAGACTCAGAAAAATAGTTCATTTTTTAAATGAGAAGTCTGCGGAACAAAGAAACCACTTAGAATCTCGGTCATCTGGGCAACCAGCCAGATGGATATGACCCTGACCAAGCAGGGCAGATTTTTTTTTTTTTTTTTTAAAGCTAGGGCTCAAATGAAGGGAAGACAAATACAGTCCTTGAAATGTTAACTGGTTTGGGGAACTTCTCCCCACCCCTCCTACCGGTTCATTTCTTTTGAGGTTAATTTTGAAGATAAATCTTATAAACAGATAAAAGCTGATTTTTAAAACAATTTTATTGAGATATAATTCACATTCCATATAATTCATCCTTTTAAAAGTGTACAGTGGTATTTTAGTATATTCAAAGTAATGCAACGAACACCACTAATTTTAGGACCTTTTCCTCACCCCCAAGGGCGATTCATTAGCAGTCCCTCCCCTTCCCCCTCACTCCTAGGCAACCACTAATCTAGTTTCTGTCTACAGAGTTGCCTGTTCGGGGCATTCCACATAAATGCAATCATCATACACTGTGTTGTCTTTTGTGACTGGCTTCTTTCACTCAGCATGTTTCCAAGGTTCATCCGGTGTTGTAGAATGTATCAGCACGTCATTCACTTTTATAGCAGAATAATTATATGGATAGCCCACAATTTGTCGACCCCTCAGTGTCTGATGGACATTTTGGTGGCTTCTACTTTGGGCTATTACGAATAGTAGTACTATGAACACTTATGTACAGGTTTTTGCGTGGATGGCTGTCTTCATTCTCCTGGGTGGATACCTCGGAGTCAAACTGCCAGGTCATATGGTAACTCAGTGCTTAACATTTTGGGCTGTCAGATTGGTTTCCAAAGTGGCTGCACCACTTTACAGTCCCACCAACAAAGTAGGAGGGTTGTAACTAATCCATGTCCTTGTGAACACTTGTTATTGTGTCTTTTTGATTCTCGAGCTATTCTAGAGGGTACAAAGTGGTGTCTCATTGTGACTCTGACTAGCATTTCCCTAATGACTAATGATGGTGAGCATCTTTTCGTGTGTTTATTGACCAATTTATATCTTCTTTAGAGAAGAGTCTACCTGGACCTAAAAGCTGTTTTTTTCTTAAAGAATCGTCATTTAGAATTTAGTATTACCATAGATTTATTATACATTATATATGTTATAATATAATCAACAAAATATTATAATTTCTACCTGCCTGTATTTATTGTCATATAAATAAATTATATTTATTTATAAGGACCCAGCTGAGCTGCTGGGTAGGACTCTGAGATGTTTTTAAAGGAAGCTACCTTCACGGACAGAACACCTGGTCTTTCCTCAGAGCCCTTCTCCTTCCTCCTGTCTGTAGCTCAAGCAACCATGAGGTTGGAGAAGGAAGCCATGCATTAACGGTGGCTGAGCAGAGCGCCGGACCCTGGGGTCCTGACGACTGGCACCTCCACGCCAACACTCGGCCACCGACCTCTAAACCACTTTCACGGGACAGAACTAGCCACTTTATTCAGATCTCTACCCATGCAGTCCAGTGTGACTCCTGACTGACAGCCAGCCATGTTGGGAGTATCATCCCACCCTCCTTTCCCCATAAATGCTTCTTATTATTCTGTCATTCATTTTTCCATCACTGAGACATGGGCCTTGCCCTCAAGTAGCTCAACATTTAACAGGTAGGTCAGACTTAGAACAAAACTGACTTGTAGACTACAGGATAAGGGTCACACTACAGAAAAATAGACACAGGCCATGAAATACAAAGAAAAAGGTCTAATGGAAGCAGCACTGAAGATGGTTATAAAAGACGAGCAGAGGTTGTCACGTAGATGGGAAGGAGAAGGGATTCTAGGCAAAAGGAACAATATGTACGAGGGAACAGAAGCACTGAAAGCTTGGTGGCTCAGAGCCCTGCAAAGCCTATCTGCATGATTGGGGTCTATGGGAGAACAGTAGACGAAGTTGGAAAATTGGTCTCAATTCAGATCACAAAAGGCCTTGCATGTCATGCCAAAGAATTTGCATGTATTATGCAACCAAGTATTCATATGTATTGTCTTTAATCACTAGTTGTGTCCCATGTGGTAAATCTCATCTCTGTAATGGGAAGGCAGGATCCACATCTTCTCTCTCTTTTATAATGTCCCTATTACTGTGCTGCTGCAAGCCAGAAACTGAAAACTGTTTGTGGCATCAAAGTCTCATGAACAGCCTGCGAGACCCATGCGGATGGCCACAAGCAAAGTTTCAAGAAACACCTCCCACAAAGAAATGAAAGCATCATGTAAGAAGTTTATAAAGTGCCTTCTTCATTCCATTTGCTGCCTGGCTGCTCTGTCCCAGAGGACAGATCTGAGGGGAGAAGCATGCACACAAAGCTACAATGACAAGTCTGAGTGCTCTCTGCAAGGCAGAACTTCCAGAAACCCAGAGAAGTAGTATCACTGGGAGGCAAAGAGCTGAGACTAAGTGACCTTGAGCCCAGCACTTGGATCTGTGTGATATTCTCAAGGGCACTAGTCCCCACCTCCAAGGACTGTGAGGGATTAAGTGAGGTGATTAAGTACGGTGAGGATTAAGTACGGTGATGCATGTACAGGGTTGGCACAACTCCTAGCACAGAGGTAAGTGCTCAATGAATGCTAAATAGCAAACGGAAATTATCTGGAGTGGTCAAAAATGGCTGCACAATGGAAATGACAGAAACTGCTCCAGAGACAAGCTGACTAGGGAACAAGGGGAGGGAGAGCATTCCAGGTGATGGGAAGGACACTTGCTCAGGGTGGAGGCAAACTGCCTGGCTAGTTTGGGGAACTGGAAATAAGCAGAGCAGGTGATGGGTTAGTGTGGAGTGTGGGCAGAAAGGGGCCAGCTGTAAAGCGATGAGCCTGGACTTCATCTTGCAGTGAAATTATGGGAGGACTGCCAGCAGAGGGGGTGTCTGTATTTTAGGGTGCTCCTTCCAGGGCTGGCATGTGGTGGGAAGTAGTTTAGAAGCTCAGCTGCTGTAGAGATTAGCCAAGGACAGGAGCACCCTGATTCTGCCCACAGCACCCTGATTTCTGCCTACAGGATCAAGGGATTTCCAGTCCTTGGTGCACCGGGAAGGGTACTCAAACAGTGAGGACACGGTAAGCTGCCAGGGGAGCGGTGGAGTGCAAGCAGAGCACAGGTAGAAAGTGGGACAGTTCTCAACAGGCTTTGGGAAAAGCAAGTGCGTGTAATCAGAAGGAAGCTGGGCAGGGATGGGGGTGCGCATCAGGCATAGGTTTAGAAGAGTAAAGGATATCCTTCTTTCCCATTACTGGCACTGACCCAATAATATATTTCTTAGAAGTTTATACAGCTGTACACTTAAAAACAAAATTAAATTTGGCTCTCTCAGGTCACCTGATCCTCGCTTTCTTTGCTATTTTCTCTAGTTTCTGGCTCCCTGTAGTTTTAATCAGAAATGCCTTGAGAGAGAGAGAGAGAGAGAGAGAGAGAGAGAGTGAGCAGTTCAGAGGTAGCTGCGTGCCTGCAATCAGTGAGCAAGCCCAGCTTTAGGCTAGGACAGGCATGAGAATGAGCCCTCACTCGGGGCACAAGAGGTGGCAACGGGACTAGGAAAATTAACAGGCACTGTCCTCTCTGCTGTTTAGTATAGAAAGCATGTTCTGGACAGACGCTTGAGTTCTCAAAGCAGATGAGAGGAAGAAAGGACTGAGCTGGAGAGAGAGAAGTGATCTGAGAGGAAGCAGAGTAGGGGCCAGCGCATACGATCAAGCTTAGCCCCCTGCCAGCGAGGAAGGTTTACACGGGAGACTGAAACCTCATGGTCATTGCTCACCCTAGAGCAGGATTCACTTGCGAACCACCTGCATCCTCCACTAGGGAGATTTATCATGACATCAAGGCCCCTTATTAAGACGGTCTCCCGGCAAGACCCATCAAGGAACATAAATATGATCATTCCTTTGACCCAGTGATCTCACTTCTGAAAGTAATGCCCAAGGGGATGTTTAGGAGGAGAGAAGCTACTCGAATAAAGACCAATGCTGTTGAGTCAAACAAACAAAAATGCTCATAGCTACTTCATTCCTAATAGTGAAATAATGCAGCCAGCCAACAACTGAGGAAGTGTTTAACAATGATGCAGATTAATTTGATAAGCTATCAGGTAGCAATTAAAAATATCCAAGCAGCTCAATTTTAAAAACGTTAAATATTTTTTAAATGATATATTTACATTGGTTACATATACCTTAAAACTTATGGAGGTCATAATGGAAGCAGAGACATAAAGCCTTTTCTGAGGTAAAGATTTCTCCAAATTATGTAAAACTGCTCAACGTCAGGGAAACCAAATCAAAATCACAATGGGATATGGCTTCACACTTGTTAGAATGATTATCAAAAAGACAAGAACTCAGTGTTGGGGAGAATTTGAAGAAACTGGAACCTTTGTACATGGTGGGAATGCAAACTGGTGCAGCCACTCTGGAAAATAATACGGAGGCTTCTCAAAAAATTCAAAAAAATTACCATATGATCCAGGGATTCCACTTCTGGGTATTTCCCCAAAGAAAACAAAAACACTAACTGGAAAAGATATATGCACCTTCATGTTCACTCTAGCATTATTACGATAGCCAAGATACAAAAGCAACCCAAGTGTCCACTGATGGATGGAGGAAGAAAATGTGATTTATATACAGTGGAATATTCAGCCACAAAAAGGAGGAAATCTTGCCATATGCCACAACATGGATGGACCCTGAGAACAATAAGCTAAGTGAACTAAGTCAGAGAGACAAGTACCCTATGATCTCTTATATGTGGAATCTAAAACAAACACAAAAACCAAGCTCACAGAAACAGAAAACAGACTGGTGGTTGCCAGAGGCAGAGGATGGGATGGACGAAATGGGTATAGGGAGTCAAAAGCTGCAAAGTTCCGGTGATAAAATAAGCAAGCCAGTGTGGTGTAATGCACAGCATGGTGACTATAGTTAATACCATTTTGCATATTTGAAAGTTGCTAAGATAGTAGACTCTAGAAGTTCTCATCACCAGAAAAAGAATTCTGTAACTATGTATGGTGATGGACGGTAACTAGACTCATATGGTGATCATTTAGCAATATATACAAATATTAAACCATTATGGTATACAATGAAACTGATATGTTATACATAAATTATACCTTGATGATAAAAAAAACTATTGATTTTTGCAAAGACAGTAAATCCCCAGTTTGTGACCTGGGAGTATAGCTATGAGCAGAGCCTATTTTTGTTTTTCACAAACATCCCTGAACAACATGGGCAGAGAGGTGTGGGGCAGGGCAAGGGGTGTTGAGGGGTCAAGTCTCTAAAACTACTCCTCATATTCAAGCTCAAGGAAGCTTAATTGCTGATAACGATCAGAAGCAGAAACAGAGGGGTGCCTGGGTAGCTCAGACAGTTAAGCATCCGACTTCAGCTCAGGTCATGATCTCACGGTTTGTGAGACCAAGCCCTGCATCAGGTGCAGAGCCTGCTTGGGATGCCCTCTTTCCCCGCCTCTCTGCCCTTCCCCTACTTGCACAAGCGCTCTCACTCTCCCAAAATAAATAAATAAACCTAAAAAAAAAAAAAAAACATCCAATAGAACACAATGTGAAAATGCTTATCACCAGGCAAAACTGCCACCAAGCAGGTGAACTTTCAGAAGTAGAAAGAACATGGCAGTTAGAAATATGGTGGAGAATTTTTAAAATTGAGGATGAAAAAGTATTATTTCTGACCATTCCTGACACTGGACATACATTTAAAATGCATGAATATATAAACGGAGCTCAGGATTTATTAAGAAACAGGGTAACAGATCAATACTGGGCCTGAGTGACAGATTTTCAGTAAAACACCTGCTTTGTTCCATGAATTTTCCAGTTTTCCTAGACAATGACCTACATCCATCACATCAGTCTCCCCACCCCACCCCCACTCCGGCCCCTGCCCAAACCGTAAACATTGAGCTAGATGTTCACAACCTACACTAGCGAAATGCCTCACCAAGGCAGCTCACAAGGGCGGGAGGGTTGGGGGAGTTTCATTCTCTCTCCCGGTTTTCAGTGGGTCAACAAACTCTTTTCCATCATGATCACTTACTTTAGCCACGTTGTTTTTTACAGGAACTGCTTGACATATAACTGACTTAGTTCAATTAATGGGCTGAAAAAGAAACTACACACATATGGATATGGCGTGGCTAATCTATGTTGTGTTAACTGTAAAGACCAGTACCCAACCCTGCTCCAAATTCTAAATTCTACTGCCTCGGCTCTATGTCACAAGGTTGGCTGAAAACAATCTTGCAGGCTGTGCTATGACTTTAAGAAATAAATTCTCCCGCAAGTCTTTGGCAAATGTACGGCTAAACATAGCAGAAATCTCATGTATACAGATTTAAAGTTTCTCCTTTGGGAATTTTGCAAGCAAACAAAATGATTTATTTCGCCAATTCAAATGTACTGTATCAAAACACACAAAGGCCTGGAGGAAAGATTACAATGAAAACAAGTGATTCAAAGCAATTTTTGATCCACATTTTGCTTAGCCCTACAAAGATATGAATAAGGTGTGGCCGTGTTTTCTGACAGATTTCACTGTTCCTTGCCTCCAAGTGAAACACTGCCAGAAGAATATCTTGAGTGCTTAATGTATGCCTGGAAGACATGTTTATCAGCCCTTTAGTAATGGGAGGAGGAGCTGTGCTCAGACCATAAAGTATTTAAGAACAGATCATTTAGAGCTGTGCTGTGCTGGGTAGACAGTTGCACTGGACACGTGTCTTCAGCATCTGAACTGTGGCTAGTACAATTAAGGAACTAAAATTGTATTATGACTTGATATTGGACTCACAAACTTAAAAATGTTTGTGTGTTGGAGACAACTTGGGTGTGTGACTCTACTCTTTCACTGTGTATTTCGTGACATATAAATACAGATCAAATACTCCTGATGAAAACTTAGCATCTTAATTGAGAAGTACCATTGGTGGATTTACAGTTAATTTTGAACACTTGGTGTGAAAAGAAATGTAAAATTTTCCAGTATTTCTTAATATAGGTTGAATGTTGAAATATTTTGGATATAATAAATAAAGTATATCATAAAACTAATTTCATTTTTTTAATGTGGTTCCCAGAAAACTGAAAATGACAGAGGGCTTGCATCTTATTTCTATTGGGCAGTGCTGTTCTAGAGTGATCTGAAGTCTTGAGGACTTGAACGCCATCTGCTGGATACATGTGTACAAAACACGCCTGCAAGAACCAATAAAACTAATTGTGTTAACACTTTCAACTCTGGGTCAGAAAGGGAAGAGGATGTTAACTGGGCTCACGAAACAACTACCTGTGTGTTAAGAGAGTATTAGAAATGTTTATATGCTCTTGAAATCCTAGAGGAAATCTTACAGTTATTAGTCGACAAGGACCTTATGCCAATGTGCAGACTGCTTCACCATCTGCCCTAGGTGGGGGGGCACCCTGGGCAACGATGAAAGGTTATTTGGGGATCCTGCTCAGGACCGCTAGCTCCCGCAGGCCTTCCTCCCGCCTGTTCTCTGCCATCAGCCTCTCAAGCCCTTCTGCTCTACCTCAGAAACACGTCCTTTTCCCATTGTTCTCATTTGTCTATTGTCTTCCTTCTTCCCTTCCGTTTTTCTTCTTAGGATTCCAGTGTAACTAAATATTTCTATTTTTTCTCTCTAGTATATTCCAATTTTCCTTTTTTGGTCACTCTCCCTTTTGTTACAGTTGGTTTTGTAGTTTTAGTTCCTACGTTTAGGTCTTTGATCCATTTGACATTGAGTTGGTTTTGTTTATGGCCTGAGTTATGGGTCCACATTCATTCTTTTGCATGTAGATAATCAGGTGTCCCAAAATCATCTGAAGAAACTATTCTTTCCCCCATTGGGTGGCCTTAGCACCACTGGCAAAACTCTACTGACCACAGATATAAGGATTTATTTTGGGACTCTCAATGCTAGTTCACGGTTCTACATGCTTATCCTAGGTCAGTACTGCACTGCTTTGATAACTGTAATTTGTAGTAAGTCTTGAAATTAGAAGTGTGGGCCCTCCAACTCTGTTCTTTTTCAAGATTGTTTTGGATTATTCTGTGTCTCTTCAATTCCATACCAATTTTAGGATCAGCTTATCAAGTTTTGGAAGAGACGTGGCTGGGCCAGTTGATTTTAATGTATATATTTTAAAATCTATTTGCCTGGGGAGCCTGGGTGGCTCAGTTGGTAAAGTGTCTGATTTCAGCTCAGGTCATGATGTCATGGTCTGTGGGTTTGAGCCCTGCATTGGGCTCTGTGCTGACAGCTCAGAGCCTGGAGCCTGCTTCAGATTCTGCACCTCCCTCTCTCTGCCCCTCCCCTGCTCATGCTCTGTCTCTCTCTCTCAAAAATAAACATACATTAAAAAAAAAAAAAGAGGTATTTGCCTGATCAGGCTGATGGAACAACCCTTATTAGGGCAGGCAACTTTGCCTTTGACATGGAGTCCAGAGGTTAAGTTTGCAAGAATTTGGTATTTTCAACTAATGCTACTTGATATTGGGACAAGACTGAGAGCAGATGGCATTGGAGAAAGTGAGGCTAGAGTAAACAAGAGCCTAAACAAACTGCACTGAAGTCCCAGAGCTGCCATTTGGATATCACATGACAAGTCATTGGCCCTCTTTGCACTGTAGTTTGCAATTTGTAGTAAGAAGGGGGCATTCCCATCGATACTACTGAGACTGTGTGCATCAGACCCACATGAGTGCAGGCTCCTTCTGGCACCTGAAAGACCTGCTCCAGCACATTCTTACAGGGAGCCCTATGGGCCAACTCCCACTGCTTGTCTGCAGCTGTCAAGAAGACTCTGAGGTGCAGTCGGCACAGGAAGTGCTTCTGAGCTCTGCTAACTCAGTTAGTAAAGACAAAGGGACCTCCTCGCCCCTCACTCCAGCCCAGGTCTATTCCAGTCAGACTTCTGAGGTGACTTGGCTCCTGAAGTGGTGAGGGCCTAACGTGGGCACAACAGAGAGGCAGGCCCAGCTGAAAAGCCAGCCCTTAAGTTAAGAAGCATCTGACTTCTGACTACACCGGGCAGCCTCCAAATGTGCCCCAGGCACTCTGCACACACTTACTGAATGCCCACAAGGCATGTGTGGTGACAATCATCATTTAGGATGGGATGACAAGAAAACTGATTTTGTCTTCTACCTTTTTGGATTATGAGTTCTGCTCCCTGGTCTTATTTCAAATGTTACTGCTTAATAGTCCACCAGCTTCATGGTCCTCTGGGAGACTAGATCACTTGCCCTACTTGGTGTCCCCTCATTTGCCACTTTGACAGGCTAACACACCTTCTGACAGAAATGGAACTGATATGGAAGCTGAATCCTTGGAACAAAGAAAGCTGCACTCTAGTATTTGCAAAATTAAAGGAACGAATCCTTAAATCTAGATACGCCAANGCTCCCTGGTCTTATTTCAAATGTTACTGCTTAATAGTCCACCAGCTTCATGGTCCTCTGGGAGACTAGATCACTTGCCCTACTTGGTGTCCCCTCATTTGCCACTTTGACAGGCTAACACACCTTCTGACAGAAATGGAACTGATATGGAAGCTGAATCCTTGGAACAAAGAAAGCTGCACTCTAGTATTTGCAAAATTAAAGGAACGAATCCTTAAATCTAGATACGCCAACAGAGTGGGTATGAAACAGGGTTACAAGCTCCTCTGGGTCATACATGACAGCTTACATGTAAATCCAGGAGGCCAGGTCTCCATATCAGTTAGAAAGAAAGAAATAGCCAGTGGCCACAGAATTTCCATGGTACCATTCACTTTCTTCCTTGCTGACTGACAAATCCAACCTGAAGTCTGTGCCTTCTAGGAAAGGGATAGGAGGAAATAGGTACAATCCGGCCCCTAAAATTAAATTATTTTCCCCAATTTGGGAGAAGAAGGCACAATCAACAGTACAGACCCAAATCAGAATGGTTTTTAAAGTTCATGTCACTTGTTTATAGTAGGATATCATATCACCCAGAGTTTCAAAAGTGATGATAGGGGCCTGTGGCAGGCCGCCGGGGCCAGGAGCGGGCTATCAGGGCCAGGAGCAGATGGTGGATGGGAAGGGCCGGCGTCACGGCTCTGGCCAGAGCACTGTCCCGGGTCCTTTGGTGTGGGTGTGGGCGCAGGTGCAGGCCTGCTCCAGGTCTGGCTACTGAGGGAGCCCGTTTGCTTTCGACCCACAAAGTAATCCAACGGTGAGAAAACTCAGGATCTCTCTCAGCCCGGAGATCTGACTGCTTCTTCTACCAGTACCCAAAGGAAAATTCTAATAAAAATAAGAAAGATTATTATGAGAAGTAATGACCAAATCAGTTGAATTTCTACTGTTACTACTTTTCAATCATTATGCATATTTCTTACCCCCCAACTCCCATTCTCTGGACGAGACAACAAGGATAGCAGTCACATAATACGAGGTGTATGTAATGCCTACAAAAATATAAGGAAGCAGGCAAAGAAAAGGGAATGACTACTTCCAGATGGGGAAAGATTCAAGGAAGGCTCTGGAGGAGAAGGCTGGTAGGTTCTGGAAGTATTGCCAAAAGGCACTAAAATTACATCTGAGAGAGAAATATAGAAAACTCAAACACTCAAATCATTTGCTTGACATGATGTAGGTACCTGACAACAAAATACAAATTCTGGCTGTTATTGAGTTTTAGAAGACACAAAAGTCCAAATCTCTATTTGGTTAGCAGCACTAACCAAAGGCACTGGCCTATTTGCCTTTTACCGAATCTTGGATCTCATCAGCTCCAACACGGCGAGCTAATGTACGACTGTAAGGATCTCGTTCAAAGAGGCATAAATCCTAGTCTCCTCCAACAAGAAGCTGCTGTGGGCATCACGGTATATTTACAGAAATAATTTACAGAAAATTCTGCATGACCCAACAGATCCATATGTGAATCCAGGTTAATACTTGGGCATGCAGACTATTTTCAACTAAACATAAAGGAGACTGCTAGAAACAAGACAACGTTAAAATACCAAACCTTGTAAGAATTTTAAAAGTTGCTCCTGAAAGGAGTGCTGATGCACAGGGGCACATGTACCCCAATGTTCACAGCAGCACTTTCAACAATAGCCAAATCATGGAAAGAGCCTAAATGTCCATCAACTGACGAATGATCAAGAAGATGTGGTCTATATATACACTACACGGCAATGAGGAAGAATGAAATCTGGCCATTTGTAGCAACGTGGATGGAATTCGAGGGCGTTATGCTAAGTGAAGTAAGTCAGGCAGAGAAAGACAAATACCATATGTTTTCACTCATAAGTAGAACAGGAGAAACTTAACAGAGGACCATAGAGGAGGGGAAGGGGAAAAAATAGTTAAGGAGAGGGAGGGAGGCAAACCATAAGTGACTCTTAAAAACTGAGAACAAACTGAAGGTTGACGGGGGTGGGGAGAGGGGAAGGGGGGTGATGGGCATAGAGGAGGGCACTTGTTGGGATGAACACTGGGTGTTATATGGAAACCAATTTGACAATAAACTCTAATAAAAAAAATAAAATGGGGAAAAAAGGTGATAAGGTGACTTAAGCCCCACCCACTCCCTATAACATCACAAACATGATGTTCTATCAAAAGCTGAGAATTGTTTTTTAAGTTTAATTATTTATTTTGAGAGAGGCAGAGAGAGAGGGAGAAAGAGAATCTCAAGCAGGCTCTGGGCTGACAGCACAGAGCCCAACACAGGGCTTGATGCCATGAACCGGGAGATCATGATCTGAGCCGAGATTAACAGTTGGATGCTCAACCCACTGAGCCAGCCGGCACCCCAAATTACATTAAAAAACAAAAAAAACCCCATAGCATCAAAAACATATGTAAAAGCCTATAATCTCTCAGTTGTGGGAGTGACTCCTTTATTAAATAAAGCATCACCTTGAATTCCTACACAGAAATTATCACCTTATTCATGGGACTGTAAGATTCATTTTCCCCCAAATTCATATAAAAATTACCACCGCAACTACCAACCCATCTAACATGTTCATATTATAAGTGGAAAGCCGAACAAACCACATAAGCTTCAAATGATGGGCTGGTTCAGTGGCAGAGGAGAGTAGTTTGGTAAGAACGACAGGTGTTATTGGTCATGTAAATATGACCATGTCCTCTACCACAATCCAGTAGGAAGTCATATTTGGATATGCAGCAATATTCTCTAACCCTGAGCAGGTGGGGAAACATCTGAAAGAATTCCAGTGCCATACTCACACAGACAGATACAATACCCTAACATTTTCAGTCCAAGCATGATAACAAAATAAACTTTTCTTTAAGAAAAAAATTCCTTTAAAAACTCATGATGCATCCTGTACAGGAATATGCATATCTTAGTTACCAGCCAATAAATGACTTATAAACACACACACACACAGTGGCTCCTGAGAAAGGGAATACCGAAGCTTAAAGCCACATGAGGGCAGCACAAATTTTTGAAAACTTCCCCCAGTGCTTCTAAAAAAAACTGTCCTTTTGAAATGATCTGTTGTAGACCCTGGTTTTTTATAATCACACTTTCTAGCGCCCCTGTTTATAAACAGCTAGGGTCTGGGAAGAAACAGTTCAAAGATCTGGAGAGTTCCATGAGCCTCGAAGGACCACTAAGACTCATGAAAA